TAATTTTTTTTAATCTTCTTGAATGCTTACATGAGCTAGGAAACAAAACAAAACAAAAGATACTCAAGTAATGACAGGAATACAGAAGTGTATGGGAGAACTTAAGGTCAGCTTTTACCTTAAGGGTAGAACTGAAGAATAAAAACATGTTGTAAAAGCATGACAACTGGCAAACAAAAGCAAGCATGGGAAGGATAAAAACAAAATTCAGGGTAACAGTACCCTGAGTGGAGTGAAAGGGCAGTGTGTACAGTGAGGTGGGCTACAGGAACATGGGACAGGGAAGTATCAGGATGTTCTTTTCATCTGAGCAGTAGGGTCACGGGTATTCACTATATCACCAATTATCACACCTTATAAAAAGAATATATATATATATATATTAGATATTATAGAATCTACAGAATTAAAAAGTATCAATATCATCAAATTCTGAGCCCCCAAAAAAGCATTGATTTAGCCTAGAATTCAGTGGAAGTATGTTATGTACATATGTAACCATCTTAAATGTTTGCATCAAATATTAAAGACTTTAAAGGTCAGAGAATGCATATCATCACATTCTGAGACCATTATAAAGTGATTAATTTATCTCATACTTCAGTGAAGGTTCTTACACACAATACTTACATAATGTTTCAGCTGCATTCTCAGATAAATATACTCTGGCTATAGAAAGCTGATGAGGACAATTACTGATTTATCTGCGCCCCATTTGCACGTGTGTTTAAATAGCAGAAAACTCTGGATTCCAAACTGATTTTGTAACTTTGGAATTAAACCCTTTCCCAAGTTTGGTGCTGCCTGTGTAGGACAATATATGGGTCACTCATAATAGTTCTGGAATTGCCAAGCATGTGGTAGGGCAGATTCTGCATTGAGGCTTTACCAGAAGTCAAATATTTAATTACTTACCAAACCAGCAATAAAAACTCATACTATATTCAGAACTTTCTTGCCAGATCAGGGTAAAACTTAAAAATATGCTTTTTTTCCACACAAATGAAAATTATACATGTTATACACATGGCCTGTTTTAAACAACAGCATTTAATGCTGTTAATACCTTCCACATCTATGAACAGTTGTACCTCCCTGTTAATGAGGGATACATAAATTTGAAACTCAGTACATTTAACCTGTTGAAAGACATCTGCAACACCTCTAATTTCTTTCTTGTTACTGTAATATGCCTATAAGCATCCTTGTATATGTACGCATACATGTGTAAATCTTACTATTTCTTTTGAATAAATTCATAAAAGTAGAATTATTAGGTCCAATCATAGGAAACTGCCAAGGTTTCAACTGTTTTTCACTTACAGTAAAGATGGCAGTCAATAGGGTCACCCAACAAACTGGAGGGCATGAACATATTCAAGGCTTTTGGTATACTGCCAATTCATTAATTTTGACAAATCATAGTATTTTGTTGTTGTTGCTGAGACAGGGTCTTGCGTGGGCCACCGCACCCAGTCAATCATAGTATTTTCTTTCTTCCTCCCTTCCCTTTTTATGATTTTGGTACCACCTTTAACTCCCTCCAATTACCATTACTTGAGCCTGAAACACTGGCATGGAAAAACGACGACATTGCCAGACACCAATGGGAAAGGAAAGTGACCATGACTATACTTTCTTTTAAAATTTATGTACTTGATAAACTATTATAAAAGGATACACAAAATGAAAGTGATTATTAGAATACAGAAAATTTAAGTAATGTTTTAGAAGTATTTTTTGAACTTTCTAAAAATGTGCCATGCCAAGCATGGTGGCTCATGCCTGTACTCCCAGCACTTTGGGAGGCCAGGGCAGAAGGACTGCTTGAGGACAGGAATTTGAGACCACCTTGGGTAACATAGCAATACTCCCATCTCTACAAAAAATTTTTTAAAAATTAGCAAGGCATCATGGCATGCACCTATAGTCCCAACTACTCAGGAGGCTGAGGCAGGGGGATTGCTTGAGCCCAGAAGTTCAAGGCTGCAGTGAGGTATAATCATGCCACTGCACTCCAGACTGGGCAACAGAGCAAGACGCTGTCTCTATAAAAATAAAATAAAATTTAAAAACATATTAAAATGTACTCGATAACAGATTTTTAAAAATTAAAAAGACAAAAAGAGAAACTGTAGAAATGAATGACAGCAAAGAGTGGGGTGGAGGAGCTGAAAGGTTCTACAGAGTACACATAGGAAGGAAAAAGGAAAGCTATGTACCATCCCATAATGTGCAGCTCACACTTGTATGGTGACATGCAAATGGCAAATGCTGAATCCTCTAAGTCTGCTACTGTCTACAGACTGAAATTCAAAATGTCGCTGGGCAATTATATGGCAGACAATTTTATCTCATTTAATGAACATAATAGTCCTATAGGATAGTTATTCCATTTCTATATTTTAACATATAAAACAATTAAGCAGAAAGAGACTCAGAGGTACCTAAAATCACAGAGCTATTATACACAGAACAAGCACATGACTGCATATTCCTTTAAGCAAAATTTCATTAACACTTAACTATACTTAGTGAATGTCTTGATCAGAATTTTTTTTAGACCACTCTGACTGGATGGCAGTATCAAGGACAGACTGAATTTTTAAAAGGTTCATTACACTTAGCTTTCTCTTGGGTTTTATAAAAACCGCTGAACTGAATTCTATAGACTACCATAAGATATATCCTATTAGTAAAATAAAATCTGGGATACACTGGTATGTGCAGTACTCACTTTATCATATAGGAAAGTCTTCCAACAAAGAAAAAGTAGGACAACCTAGTAACAGTGTGAACAAGGAACAAAAAAGTTGCAGACTTTTAGGTTAGCCTAGAAATTATAAAAAGGAGTCACTTAGTCCTGTATTATGCATTCCAGAAATCAGTGTTACTAAAGTACCCATGTATGTCCTTGGTGGGTACAATTTTTTTCCAAGAAATAATACCAATAGTGACACAGATCACATACCAAAAGAAAAATGCTAAATAAATGAGAGTTATTTAAACTCTCATTATCTCCTTAGGCAAAATATGAAGTTCAACAGACTGCTAAAGGATGAGATGTAACAGTACATCAGAACCAGTCTGTAAGCTGAACATTATTTTTGCAATGAGTAGGCTTCCAATAAGCTCAGCTGGAATCTGAAAATGCCTTCTTAATCTTCCCATTTTACCAACTTAAATTCCTCTCTTATTCAACTCTGTATTATCGTAAACCTTCAAAACTTGTCACCAATCCCTTACCTCAGGGGTCCCCAAACCCTGGGCCATGGATCAGTACCAGTTAGTAGCTTATTAGGAACCAGGCCACACAGCAGGAGGTGAGCTGTGGGCAAGCAAGCATTACCGCCTGAGCTCTGCCTCCTGTCAGATCAGCAGTGGCATTAGATTTTCACAGGAGCACAAACCCTGTTGTGAACTGCACATGCGAGGGATCTAGGTTGCGCATTCCTTATGAGAACCTAATGCCTGATGATCTGAGGTCGAACAGTTTCATCCCAAAATCATTCCCCTACACTCCATCCCCCTACACTCCAACCCCCAACACCCTGTGGCTCTGGTCTGTAGAAAAACTGTCCTCAAAACTGGTCGCAGGTGCCAAAAAGGTGTTAGGTAAAGCAGCAGTCCCCAACCTATCTCCTATGTGACGACTTCTTCACAGACAAGATGAAAACAGACACAACCCTGCAAACAGCTGGAAACTTCCTTAGCTTCTACTCTCTCAGCTTGAACCTTTTAAGTGGTAACACCTATCATTACCTCACACAGAAAAATATAGAACAACTTACCTTCTTACCTCCTTCTTTTGAATCTAATTCACCATTGCTCTTTCACGGCAGTAAGTGCCTAGACTTACATAATAAGCCTTTTTCTTCCTTATTTTCACATCCTGTTTTAGTTCAATCTCTGGGTCCTATCAAATCCATCCACTAAATTTGCGTATTATAATATACTTTCACTTTTATCTAATTTCTTGCCAGAATGATTGAAGAGCCTCTAAACATGCTTGCAATCCTTTAAAAATTTAATATATCCCTGATACTGCCATCTAATCACAGTGGTCTCAAAAACAACTCTGGTTAAGGCATTCACTAACTAAGGTTTTTAAATGGCTCCCAATATCTGCAGGAGAAAACCTAAACCCCTGTTTACACGATGTTTGTGGTCCCTCTCTCACCAAAATGTTATGAACTATTTTAGCTAAGACTGCACCACATTCTCTCTCTCCCCTCCGTGTTCTTGTCTAGAAAACACAACTCTTCTTTATTCTACAAAGTCGGAGACTACTCAAATGATGCTTTTCAGTGGAGCCATCTCAATACCAAATCTATACTAGGTCAGCAGACTCTTCTATGCACAGTCACATCATTCGTGCTTACTAACAGCAAAGGATCAAACATAAAGTCACTGTTTACAGGAATCCTCCACTAGACAGAAGAATTTAAAGGTGTGGATTATGCGATTTATTTCTGCATTTCAGGTCCGGAATAGTTAGTTAATAAATATTTTTATTAAAGCAAAAAAAATTACCAAGTACATTTAATGACAAAATTATATGTACAAATGTCTTTTTGACGTTTATTAACATTTTTGGCCTTTTACCTTACATATATTTATTGTCTATCTGATGCCTTACGGGGTAAAAAGCAAAGCAAATCAATTTTATATGGGTATAGTCGGCTCTGCAACAATCTCTACCTATGACAAATTTGTTGATATTCAGGCATAATAATAGTATTTAAAGCTCAAGAAATGATTGTAGACTTACTGTCTCCATATAATAGAAGTTATCTTTTAAGATTTACTCAAGTATACAAAAGCTCACAAAGAACAAAAAAATTAATAAATCCATACTAGTTAAAATATTCTTATTGCCATTCAGCAACAAATTTCTATTCCTCCAAATGTTAGCTTTAATCAAATTTGAAAATAAAAATACGTAATAAATAGGATTCAAAGAAACAAACAAAAAAGTATATTAAAGCAGCCTCTAATACCTGTTGATAGAAGAAATTCAAAGTTGGCTTATCTTCAGTAAACTGGTTTAGAAATCCTTTTGGCAAATAACGAATTCTCAATTCATATCTAAAAATAATTCACAAAACAGAACAATTAGAAATTAGTCATTTTCTCAATTTATAGTCTACAATTACAATATTATTTTGAGTATAGCATTCCTAATTACTCTGAAAGATGATTTTAAATATACGCTATAATCAATTAATCTTTAAATGTAATTTTTAAACATTTTAGCACGAAAAAAGAGCACGTATCATAGATGTGCTACAGCTCAGTGATTCAAGGAAACAGAGCACAGGACTTCTGGGCCTTAAGAGGCCTCTTAAGGCCCAGAAGTCCTTCCAACCCCATGGGTCATTCTCCACCACTGCTCAGGGGAAGAACTGCCCTGACTTCTAACATCTTCCACGACTTCCCATGTCTAAATTTTTACCAGTGGATTGCACAGTATGTACTCTTACTTGCTCAGAAAGCTAAGCTTTAAGAATGGATAAAACAAACCAACATCACCAGAATGCTCTTTATCTTTCTCATTCTCTCTTTATGTGTATGTGTGGCTCTACCCATATGAACACTCTAAATGTCTTCTGGCAAACATATGTACACAATTCGGTTGCATATATACCTAGGAGCACTGGATAACAAATACATCCATTAGCTTTAGCAGATATTATCAAACAGCATGCCAAAGAGTTTGTAACAAGTCAAACTTCCACCAACACCATGGGGATGTTCCAGTTCCTCTATATCCTTTTCTCCACTTGGCATTTTCTAACTTTTTTGTTTTACTCACTCTGATTGGCATACTGTAATAGTACATGGTGATTTTAATTGGCATTTCTTTGGTAAAAGTAATGAAAGTGAGTATTTTCACATACTTTTTGGTCATTTTGAATATCCCCTTTTGTGAAGTACCTGTTGAGTTTTTTATTTTTTCTGCCCAGGCTGGTCTTGAACTCCTGGTCTCAAGGGATCCTTCCACCTTGGCCTCCCAAAGTGCTGGGATTACAGGCGTGAGCCTCCACCCTTGGCCATGTTCAAGTTTTTGTCCTTGTTTTCCTACTAAATGGCCTACCTTTTCTCCTTCACCACCTACTGATTTGTAAGTGTTCTTTATATAGTCTAGATTTGAAGCCTTTACCTCCTATTGATTTGCAGGTGTTCTTTATATATTTTAGATTTGAGGCCTTTGTTAGACACAGTGAATATCCTCTCCCATTCTGTAGCTTAATGGTATTGTTTTTTTAACCACTCAACAAAACTTCAATGCAATCTTTTGAGGAAGCAAAGTTTGCTACACATATACAAGTTCTGCTAAGACTTATAAATGTCCACTTTATTAAAATACAAAATTGCCAAACAATTCGGTTCCATTTCACTTTTACTCTCAGAAAGAGTTCAATAACTTACTGTAGATATTCTACACTGGGTTATTATACAAGTATAACAGATTTCATTTATTTTCAACTTAGGATTTACCAGGCACATAACTACTTTATGTGCACTATTTCTCTCTCTTTTTTTGAGACAGGGTCTGGCTCTGTTGACCAGGCTGCAGTGCAGTGGCACAATCTCAGCTCACTGCAACCTCTGCCTCCCCGGGCTCAAGTGATCCTCCCACCTCAACCTCCTGAGTAGCTGGGGCTACATGCACATGCCACCATGCCTGGCTAATTTTTGTATTTTTTGTAGAGCTGGGGTTTTGCCATGTTGCCCAGGCTGGTCTTGAACACCTGCGTTCAACAAATCCACCTGCCTCAGCCTCCCAAAGTGCTGGGATGACAAGCGTGTGAGCCACCACATCTGGCCTGTGCACTATTTCTCTTAATCAATTTAATAATCAGAGAAGAAAGGTATAATTATTCGCATTCTGCAGACTAAAAAAATGCTCAGCAAAAAATTATTAGTTCCAGGGTTATCAGTCATTGATTCAAACAGGTCCAAGGAGGCTCCCATTTTATTTATTTTTTTGGTGGCGGGAAGTTCCCATATTAAAGACAAGGAAACTGAGGTTCAAAATGAAACAATGGGCAGCCTGGCTCCAAATCCAGCATTCTGATGCTGCTGATGATTATCAACTAACATTTTCTGAATATTTAGGGTATGACAGGAATTGTGATAAGCATTTCACACAGAAGATTTCTTTTTAGAGAAGCACAAGGAACATAGGCTCTAGATAAAGATCACCTACGGGGGGCCATGTCACTTATTCACTGTCAGCTATCACTTCTCTGCGCCTCAATTTCCTTATAAGGATGTTACAAGTAAATGAGTCAGTAGACACAAAACACCCAGAACAGTCACTGGCATATCATAATAAATGGTTTCTAAGGTTTATCATTAGTAATAACTCGATAACTGTTTATTCCAGCACAGATCATGTCTCACATAGAGTTGGAGGTGCTGGAAATTCAACAGTGAATAACAGGCAAAGTGCTAGGTCTCAAAAAGTCTGCATTTTTGTGGCAGAAGTCAGACAGCAAATACACAAATATATGTGAGATGGCAGTCAACGTCATAAAAAATATCAAAGTAAGGGGAATAACAAATGATTAAGTATTTTTTTATAAAGGATAGTCAATGATGGACACTCTGATATGATATCTGAGCAAAGATCTAAACAAAGGAGATGAGGAAGGGCGTTATACAGTTATGTGCAGAGAAAAAGTGTTCTAATCAGGTGGAACAGACTATGTAAAGGCCCTGCTGCTGGAGGATGCTTGGGAAGACAAGTGTAGCTGGGACAGCCTGCATGAGGGCAGTGAGTAGAAATGAAGCTTCACACAGACCCTTACAAGTCATGATAGCAGGGTTCTTTCTCAATGAGAAAGGAAGTCAAGGGCATGCTGTGCACAGAGAAGTGACATCACAGGATTTTCATTTTTCATGATTAGGGTATATACCATGCAGAACAGACAATGGGGACCAAAGGAAGAAGTAGGGAGACTAGGAGGAGACAGCAAGATTCTGGGTGAGAAATAATAGCAGGTTAATATTCACCTTATGCTCACAGATTGGCAAGACAATTTTAGGGAATTACATAATCTTCCCTAGATCCCACAGCTATTTAGAGGTAGGCATGGGATTCCTCTCCAGCAAGAACATGAATATTTAAAGGCACAATGAAACGAGGAGAAGGCACCTATGTCTTAAAAACAGAAAGGAACTTAACTCAAGCCTGCTTATGTGAAGTTAGACAAGGCCTTTAGATCATGTTAAGAATTTTGATGGGAGCTAAACGACAAGAACACATCCACATAAAGCAGGAAATAAGACACTGGGGACTAACAAGAGTGGTAGATGGGGAGGAGGGAGAGGATCAGAAAAAATACCTGGTTGATGAAATAATCTGTAAACCAAACCCCTGTGACATGCAGTTTACCTATGTAACAAATCTGCCCATGTACCCTTGAACCTAAAATGAAAGTTAAAAAGAACTTTGTTCCCTGCTTCAACACACTACAGTCTAGCAAATTTCACACAAAACCCTACTGAAACTTTCCTCAGTCCTTAAACTGCAATGTCTGACACCATGTTCTCGTGCCCCACTAGAGCTGACATCCCTACTCTACTCTCTTACACAAAACTCATCATTTTCTTTACACGTCTATTTGCCATTTTAAGAGTCTAGTTGCATCCTGACACATACTTCCACTTCTCTGCTATATGCCTCTCCATGGATTCCCAACAGCAGCTAAATACTATGCCCTAAATAAAATCATTCTTCTGTTCCTACTCTTAGGCAGTATGTTCTTATTCATGCCATTGTCATCTAGCTTCCTCAGTCTTACCACCAAATATGAGCACTAAGACACCCAAAAGTAACCAACTGAGGATAAGGAGGAAGACAGTATGTTTTTGAAAAGCTGAGTTAGATTAAGAATATGATAGTCCTGATACTGAGAAGGGTTAGCTAGCTAGTCTGTCTTTAGTGAAGTAAACAAAGCATTAACTTCACACAACACAGATGCCCTCATAAAAAAAACTGTGGTGTGAACAGTCTGTTCTTACAATAGACTTCCAATTTTTTTAAAAAAAGGGAAGAATGGAAAGAGAAATTTATCATTTAGCAACAATTATAGTAATAATCACTGCAAGACAGAATCATCAATGAATGCTAAGATTAGTGGGTGAAAATGAGAAACAGAATGTTGCAGTATCGACGTATCTTCCCAGAAGATATTTCTTAATTATAAAGGGGAAACAGTAACCTTGTAGTGGAGAAACCTGGCTTCCATTATATTAACCAAATGATCCAAGTTAGAACCACCTGTAAATTGAGTTGTGTCATCATTATGGACTTCCTGATACAATGCAACGAGAAAGGTAGGACATCTTGACTGTGGCAGTTTTGCCAAACACGCATAACCTTGATCATAAAAAACAATATCAAACTCAAATTGAAGAACACAATACAAATAACCAGTGAGTATTCTTCAAAAATGTAAAGGTCATAATGACACAAATTAAGGAATTGTCTCAGATTAGAGAAGACTTAAGGAGACATGACCATAATGTGGTGTTCTGAATTGGTCCTGAACCAGAAAAGGAACGGTAAGTGGAATAATTGGGAAATGTGAAAAAGTCATATAGATTTGTTACTAGGACTGCATCAATGTTAATCTCCTGGTTTTACTAGCTTTATTATATAAGATTTTAATATTTAAGGAAACTGGCTTAAGGGTACATAGGATTTCTGTGTACTATTTTGCAACTTTTGATATTATATTGAGAATTTTTAAATTCCCACAAATACAAGACTGACCCTTTTGTAGCTGTGGTGACAAACACCGCCCCCCCCAACACACACACACACACGCACACACACACACACACACACACACAAAACCAGTTTTAAATCAGCTTGGTCAATAAATTCCAGTTGTACAGCCACAGACCAACTCGAAACTAATTTTAAAGCACCTTTAATCAATCAACTGATAACTTGCCTCAACGAACATGCATCTACAGGTCAACTGATTGGCAGCTCCTTCTTTAATTCAGCCAAACAGGAACTAACTCTAAAGAACATGCTTCTAAAGATGAACAGTCTAACTTGTGTAACC